GATCGACTTTTGCCAGGGGGCACTCCTTGAAGTCATGTGGGCCAGAGCAGTAGCGACACAATGGGTTGTTGCAGCAAGTCGCGGCAGTGTGCCACACCCTGTTGCAGCGTAAGCACTGAATAATGTCTCGGTGTAACTCCAGGCTGCTGCTTTCGCAGATGGGTGCTGGAGGATCCCTGCGCCACGACTGGGGCGGCTTTAGGTTTTGGCACCACAAAAGGGGCTACTTCAGGTGCTGGCGCCACGATGGGGGCAGCTTCTGATTTTGGCATCCCTCTGTTAGGTGAGGGAGGCACCACGACAGGGGCGCCTTCCTTCGATGCTGATGGAGAAGCTGCAACAATGGCGTCTACGTGGCTGTGGTCAGGCTTGACTGGCATCTTCTTTGGCTTTGGAGCGGCGGCTTTAGTCTGGTTTTTTTCTCATGTCGGAAAAAATGCTGTAAATGGCGATGTATACCGCAACTACAAAGGGCCCAAAATCCTTAGAAGGACAGTTGAGTTATTGTGTTGCGGTAATCTGGCCAATTTCTGCAGGTGGTAAAAAGGCTGCTAAAACCCAAAAGGCTGCGCTGACCAAGGTAGCTAGTCAAGACTGATTCAGCCGAAAATCTAGCGAATCGGTGTCAAGTATCTAGCTACTGAGAATCGGGCGAGGAGTGGATAGTTAGCGGACGACGAGACATGCGTATTGTCGAGTGGGCTGACAACGAGCGAGTGTATGTTGTGGTGTGATTAGGATGTACCCATTCTGCAGGCTTTATATCTCAAACTTATTGTCAGGTGTTGGTCAGATATGACTGAGCTACCGTATAACAGTAGCCGGTACCACCTGTCTTCTGTTACATCGAATGTTGGACGGCGTATGCTAACCCAACATCCCATATTGTGTTTCGGGTGGAGGAGCGCATTGGGGAGGATACTAGCCTTATCCTAGGAAGAGGAAATGCAACCTGAAAACTTTGCGTTATGGCAGGGCAAACCAGTTAGCCTTGGCTGGCAGCTCAGTCCCTGCCATCTAGTTTAGCCCCAATCCACGCTGCGTTTGATATACTCTCGGCGGTGGCGGAAGTCCGCAATTTACATGTGACTGAGCCCCTGTTAGGGTATATTTTTGGCCGCCATAATATGTGCCCATTATTCGGATGTAATGGCGTGAACATTTAATAAAATGTACCGACATCTCCAAAAAAGTTCTGCAGGGTTCGTAGAGTAGATGAGAAGAGAAGGAGCGGCAGACCCAAGTCCAAGAAAGACCTACATGACAGCACTTCCCTGATGGAACAGGCCTCAAACTTGTAAACATCAAGTCCACTGCTTTCAGACAACAGAGATGGAGGAAACTGATTAACCCTTAACAGTAACTGGCAGTATTATATCATGTGAAATCCACCACTCACAGTGTCACACCGTGCATTTGGCTCAGTAACTACAAATTAAATCCCTTTAACAGATGTAAGTAAAGTAAAGATCCCTTTTCACGCCTTTAGGCATATTGGGCATATGGGAAGAGCACCCATATTTTTAAAGACCAATAGGCACTCGGTGGGTAATGTGGTCAGCATTACGCCGGCCGTCTTTACAGGCAGTATTATATCATATAGGACCATGAAAAGGGGGGGGAGGGCGCCAGAGAGAGAGAGAGAGAGAGAATTCTGGTTGCTATGGTCGCTTTGCACTTTTATTTGAATTTATGATGGGTTATTTATCAAAGCTTGGGGCAAGGGGGAGGGGGGGGGGGGGGCGTGAGGGAATCATCCCACATACTCACAGTTTAAATTTTTTAAATATTATATTAAAGGGGAATAACACATACATTATTATACATTAATTAAAGGGGAAACATATATATATATATATATATATTTTATGTGGTCTTTTCCTGGCTCTGAGTTCATTTTATTACCTTAGTGTGGCCTTCTCTGCAGTTAGTATTTACATTTATAATTTTAGGTATAAACCCAAAAAGGATTAGTTACAAGTAAAGGTTTATTTCTGGTGGTACGCATCTTTTACTTTTAAGGCATAATTTTATCAACATTACTGTAAAAGACACTTTGTGGCGAGTATCAGCACCTTTTTTTTTTAAACAAAAAACAAATCCCTAGTTGCTTGTTATCACATATATTGTTTATCCAGTGTTCAAATATTTGCAAGTAGACCTGCAGAATTATGGGCAACATTTATCTCTAAAGTTAAAATGTTACTTCAAGACTGTTTCTAAATTGTATTAATGTTAACCTGTTCTTTCTTATATCCCCCCCCCCCCCTCCCATAAACCATTTATTATCAACTCACCTTTCCCTTGCCATCTTCAGCAGCTCCCCCCATGTCCTCACCGCATTAATAATTTCTAGCTTGAATTCCTTTCTCTGAGTTAGTTCCAGCGAGTGACTTCGATAGTGTTAATAGGCTTTTTCACTGGCGTCTTTTTTCAGCACAAGTGTCTTTTTTCCCTGATTGATTCCGAGAAATTTGGTTTGTTCTCAAAGCTCCACACCAGTAGTTCTGTTATATAAATTTTCTCCATCTCCTCTTCACAGGCACCACTTACTGAGTATCTGTTGTAGTCATTGACCATGTTTCTTATCCATACAGCAGTCTTGATTTGTTCATAGTTGATTATTACATGTTTGGTAATAGAATTAGGATTTTGTAACATCCTCAAATTCTTTAGTGTTATGAAAGCTTTCTGTGCCTGTTGTTGTTGTTGTTTTTTTTTAAAATCTACATCTGTTAAAGGTGTGGTTTTTTTTATCATGGTATAACGGCATAATGCAGACCACATTACCCACCCACTGCCAATTGGTCTGTAAAAATATGGGTGCTCTTCCCCTATGACCGATACGCCTGAAGGCCTGAAAAGGGATCTTTACTTTACTTAAATCTGTTAAAGGAATTTTAATTTGTAGTTACTGAGCCACGGTGTGACACTGTGAGTGGTGGATTTCATTTGGAATGTCTTTTCTTCTGCACCTGCAGTGGTTTTTGTGTGTGTTGGGAACTGCTCTTAAATTGATGGGTGGCCAGTTCACTTTGATCTGGCTTATACAAATGTCTAGTATGTTGGGATTGACTGCTACCATCAACAGTGAGCTGCAGTTCTGATGCAAAACTGTTAGTTTTGGAACATTTGTGTGTGTGAGCCTCAGGTTGACACATCTGTGTGTGTGAGCCTCAGGTTGACACATCTGTGTGTGTGAGCCTCAGTTTGACACATCTGTGTGTGTGAGCCTCAGGTTGACACATCTGTGTGTGTGAGCCTCAGGTTGACACATCTGAGTGTGTGAGCCTCAAGATGACACATCTGAGTGTGTGTGCCTCAAGATGACACATCTGTGTGTGTGCATCAAGATTTTGCTGGGAATAATCTCTTTTTGACTAGTTCAAAAGGATAGTGAAGGACATTCTGTTTCATTTCCGTTGGCATGAGAACAGCTGCTATGGAGTGACCTGTTTTGCTGGGAAGCTGGAACCTCAACTAAAGACTAATTTGAAGCTGTTGTTAATTTGAAAAATAAACTGCTTGATATCATTATTATCGAGAGCCTTGCCAGCTGGCTTGGGCGATCATGCCTCTCCACAACCTGCAATCTTCAAAAGGATATGTCAGCTCATGTGCTGATCCCCCTCCATGCTGTGGCAAAATGCTGTCAAGAATCATCTCACGTTGTCTTTTTATGACTCTCTTTCTATAAATCTTTTCAGGAGTCATAACTTTTTTCAGTTACCATCTTCTCATAACATATCCCAAAAATTATGACCGTCTAATTCTGATGTGTGTGATAAATTGTCTTCGGGTCCCTCACCTCTTTCAGCTCATTGGCTGTAAACTCCCGCATAATGTTCTGGTTGCTCATTAACTTCTGGACTTTTGATCTTGTTCTAGAAATAAGGTTCTGCAGGCATCTTTATTTTACAGATCTGGCTTATGTGTATGCTGACTGTTGGTTCCTTACCTCTCAGGAAGATGCATTCTGACTTTGAAAGAAAGATCCTTGATTAGCTGACCTTAACAACATGCTTTCTGTGGGAGGGGGCAGTCCCCATCCCCCCCCCCTCCCACCAAAAAAATAGGGGGCATGAGGATCTGACTCTTATGACTCTGGGGTGGTTCATGGGGCCCACAAAACCCACATACACATAATGTCTGATTCTAAAGAATTTCAAATAATAATTATTGGTTAAGGTGTGGTTACAATTGGGAAAGAAGCTTTAACGTGACAACCGGGTGGACTATGACAAGTTAAGACATCTTGTCATAAGAATAACCAATAAACAAATGATGTATTGATTAGTACTGAATGAGTGAACTATTCACCCTAAGTTTACTGCTTGCTCTGTACCTGGTATACACTGCAAATCATTTCTGATTTTATTCCTTTTGGTCAAGGCTGCAGTCTTTTGCAGGCATCTCCATTTCTATGGTTACTAATTTCCTTCTCTGGTTTGTTGTCACTGACTATGTCTGGCACTGTTACCAGAAGGGAATTAGGTTCTTTATTAATATCTTACCCCAGATGATGTCACAGGACAGTCCCAACATTTTTAACGGTGGTAAGACTGGGTTTCTTGGCTTTCTGATGCTTTTAACAACCCCAAAACATTTAGAACTGGCCCTAACCCCAACCAACCTACGTCCCACAAAAAAGAGTGCAGCCTAAGTCCCACGACTGCATGCAGCCTATCAACCACCCCCTGAAACATTAGGCTGTCCCGTGACCTGTGGATTTCCCCCTGTTTGGGGTAGGATATTAATAAAGCACTGGGAATCCATATGCTTTGAATGAGATGCTTCTTTATGCTGATCAGGATTGTCTTGTGCTGTGCGCTAGCTGTCCAAATACTTGATATGCAGTGACTGAGTAAACAGTAAACAGTAAAGTTAATACAGAAAGATGAAAAGTTAATACAGAAAGAAGAAAAGTTAATACAGAAAAAAGAAAAGTTAATACAGAAAGAATGAAAGTTACAGAAAAAAGAAAATAACATCAGGGTTACCTCTGATAAACTCTGGACTAAACTGTCCAGGAAAACTGTAGGACAATAACTTGCGAGCTTCTACGATGAACTCATCCAGTTTGCCCTGTGAGTGCAGCAGACGACACTTGTGAAGTCTCAGTAACTGATCGGCTGATGCTTCACTCTCTTCAGTGGGACCTTGAGGAAATGAGCAAAACTTGAAGCAAGCCATCATAGTTTAAGGTAAAGCTTTCATGATATGAGGGTAAACCCTCATGATATGATTGTAAGGCTTGAGGGTATCTTCAAAGTTTGAAAGTAAAGTCTTCATATAAGTGTAGGACTTGCTTGAGGGTGTCTTTACAGTTCGAGGGTAAAATCTTCATGTGAGTTTAAGACTTGAGGGTATCGTCATAGTTTTAGGGTAAAATCTTCATATAAGTGTAAGACTTGAGGGTGTCTTCATAGATTGAGGGTAAGGTCTTCATATCAGTGTGAGACATGATAGTGTCTTCATAGTTTGAGGGTAAAATCTTCATATAAGTGTAAGACTTGAGGGTATCGTCATAGTTTTAGGGTAAAATCTTCATATAAGTGTAAGACTTGAGGGTGTCTTCATAGATTGAGGGTAAGGTCTTCATATCAGTGTGAGACATGATAGTGTCTTCATAGTTTGAGGGTAAAATCTTCATATAAGTGTAAGACTTGAGGGTATCTTCACAGTTTGACGGTCAAATCTTCATATGAGTGTAAGACATGAGGGTGTCTTCATAGTTTTAGGGTAAAATCTTCATACAAGTGTAAGACTTAAGGGTGTCTTCATAGACTGAGGGTAAAGTCTTATATGAGTGTGAGACATGAGGGTGTCTTCATAGTTAGGGTAAAGTGTTCCTGATATGAGGCTAAGACTCGACAGTGTCTTTATTTTTTTAGGGTAAATCTTCATGATTTGAGGGTAAGACTTGTAGGTGGCTTCATAGTACAAGCGAAAAGTCTTTATGATTTGATTTGATTCAAGAACCAACATCACTGCACTCAGGGCATTCCCATAAGCGTTCCATCCCCATCTTCAGCAGCCAGCTAAGAGTTCCGATACTAATGGTGCCAATAGCATTCTGACTAAACGTCCTTCTTGCCTTTCCTCTGAGCCTCAAGCATCTGCGTCACTCTTTGCTGCATCAATCTCACCAGACTGTGGATCCATGATATGAGGATAGGTACCATGATATAAGAGTTTAAATTATTAGAGTAAATATTCATGACATGAGGGTAATCTTCCTGATGCAAAGAAAAGTCTTCATGAAGGTTTCCTTATGAGGGTATATCTATATGAGGCTAAACTTCATGATATGATGGCCTTCTTTATAACATGAGAGGGAAGTCTTCATAATTCGAGTGTCTTGGGCCAAGAAGCTGGGGGGGAAAAAACAGTAAAATAATATCCACGTTGTGATGAAGTATAATGAGAACAAACATATCTCTAAAAACACTCAGGCTTTGTCTTCTGTTACTAAGAATTTTGATCTTCTTTTTCTGCCATTCATCCCCAGTGGAGCATAGGCCCTCAACCACCTCATACCAAATTGTAATATCTTTTGATATCGCTAGCCGAAACCCATGCCTTTACCATCTTTTTTAACTTCATTCTCAAGTTCCTTTCACCATGTTTTGTTGTTGTTGATGTTCTTCTTCTTCTGAACTTTATTCCTCCCACTGGAGCATAGGTCCTCAACCAACTGTTCCCAAGTCATCCTATCCTTTGTTATCACATGCACCTCACCCCACGTCTTCCCCATCTTTTTAGCTTCAATCTCTAGTTCCCTTCTCCGTGTGTTATTTTGGGTCTATCTTTATTTCTATACCCTTGTGGGTTCCAGTTTAAAGCCTTTTTAGTTATACTGTTCCCAGGTTTTCCCAATGTGTATCCTATCCTATACCAGCATCTTTTCTTCACCTCCTGATCAACTGCAATTTGTTTAGTTCTCTCCCAGAGCTCAATATTAGTGATTTTCATCATATATTTCCCTCGGGTAATAAGCTTTGGTGTTCATTAGTAAAAAAAAAAAAAAAATTGTAATATTCTCCAAGTTTCCCCTCCTACAACAGTACTGATGTGAGAATATAGTTGACAGTTTTAAGTTTAGTATTCATTTCCTTTGATTTTCAAAAAAAAAATTGAAAACTCCTCTTGCCTTTCGTATACTTTTTTAAATATTTCCATCAGTTCCCCATCTCTACACTACTGCCAAAATAGGTGTATGACTCCACATTCTGGAGAGGAATATCACTAAGAGAAAGCAGTGTTGGACTGCTTACTGCCATTATTTTCGTCTTTCTCTTATTGATTTTTAAACCAAACTGTTGTGATTTCTCATCAAGTATGTTTAATCTGTCTTGCAATGAGTAGGATATAAGAGAGATGTTATTAACATTTTTTGTCTGCCTTTATTTCTGTGCCCCTGTGGGTTCCAGTGAAAAGACTAAAAGATCCTGATAACATCCCAAAAAAGATTTTTTACCACTGGAAAGCACATCGAGAGCAACTTCATTCTGGCCCATTTGTTGAAGCAGTGATGAAAGGGTGACCCTGGCAGTGTAATGACCCGGTGCCATTTCCACAACTTGTCTGTAAGCTTCTGTAGCGGTCTTGAGATCTCCCAGAGCATTCAGACACTGGCCAAAAGTTAACCATACAGCTGCCTGGAGAAGCAAAACATTCATATTTACTGGCAATGTAACATGGGTCGTGGGTTCGTAGCCTGACTGAGCCGGACTTTTACAAAAAAAATGACCTTGGCTCCCAGATTGATCCAGCCTTGAGTGGGTACCAGGTGCAGTCCTGGGAAGTAAAGGCGGCCGGCGTGGTGCTGACCACACCACCCATCAAGTCTAGCCCTATATTCCCAATACGCCTAAAGGCGTGAAAAAGGGACCTTTACTTTTACTTAAAGTAACAGGGAATTGAATGACAATATCACCATCAATGTGTGACATTCTGAATGCCGTCAGCTATCAAGCATCTATACAGATCTTGGTCCCTGGTACACTGTAAAAACATTTTTTTTTTAATTTTAGTCAGGTAACCACAGTTTTAACTTTATACCAAACGGATCACCCATATTTACTCCATTCCTGTGCCAATGAAAACCACATACAGTGCCCATCACTGTCCTGTCTGAAAAATTTGACATAAACTGCATTCTCAGCAAAAACCAATAGCATACTCACACCCATTAAATGCACAAGGCAGCCATCAAAAGTGCAAAAAAAATAAACAGTCCAACACATTTCTTTAGTCACTATTTTTACTTTTTAGCATCATTCTGCCTCAGCTTATTATACCCCTGATCTCTGGGGTTGTCAGAAATTTCTTTAATGTATCTCTTCTCTTCTGAAATATGCTGCTTCTCTCTCTCTCTCTCTCCCCCCCCCTTTTCCCTCTCTCTTTCTCTCTCATAGTTGCAAACAGTGTTTTATTTTAATTTTTTTTCCATCCCTGTGTAGATTCCAGGATCCCTTTGTGGGGGAAAACAAGAAAAGACCCACTGCTTCTTAGCAAGCATGTCATAAAAGTCAACATGTTTCCTTCGAGGTCGGAGTACATCAGCCTGAGAGAGAAAGGGCACACAATTAAGACACTTCTGTAAACCTCACATTCTGAAACAAGGCATGGATATTTGTAGGCAGACTGTGGTTTATTGTCTGTCAGGCAGAGGCACCAACGTTGAAAGAAACTCTCTTAACTAGTCTCCTCCTAGTCTGTTCTTTGTTCTCCAAAATGGAGTCCCAGAATTTACAGAGGGATGTTGCTTCTCATTGTCCAGTAGTTTGCATCACTGTCAGTTGAAAGATTCACTGTAAGACCCTGTTCTCAAAAGTTTGTAACAAAGGAAAAACACAACCTTCATGTGAGGGTCGAGGTTTGAACAACAGATCAACATCATGGCACATGGGTAGTAACCCATAAGTGCTCTGTTCTTTCTTCTAACTCGGGTCTGAGTCTGAAGAAGCTCAGCACAGTGCACAGGCTCTGTAGCACTGGTGAGGATCCTAAATACTTTGGGTAGATTTTTGACTCAAAATTTTTGCCCAGGCAGCGCCGTTAGGCTACTTTTTTCGATTTCCAACTGCCAATGGATCAGGCGTTCGATTTCACTACCCAGAGACCAGAGGAAATTACTAGCAGTCAAAGCCCAGGTGAAAAAAATCGGACACCATGCCCCGAGACCACGCAGCCTCTTAACCTTCATTTACAAGGTAGAGTTACCTTACTGAAACAAGCACACAAGATAGGAAGTTAAGGGAGAATAATCTACGAGCCCTAGGTAAAGCACAATGGCAGAAAAAAGATGATGACGATTTACCTTATTGTACTTTTCTGAATGCACCAATGTATGCAAGAGGGGTCTAGCCTCTTCAGGGTATCCACACTCCACCAGTGTCTCAGCGATGTCGAAGTGTATGTCACCACAGTTTTCTACGTCCGTGTCACTCAAGCTTTTGATCAGATCCTAGTAAGAGTAGCCAGGTAACAGATGGCAATAATGACAACAAGTCAGTCATCATACAGTAAAATAGTGATGACATTTAACGCTAACATTTATTTCATGACACCAAATACAGAATTTGTGCAAACAATAAATGAACAATACTAGAACATCAATGAATAATAGAAATGGAGGAAGAGGGAAAGAAGAAGAGAGATTATTTATTCTTAAAAAACTGGAAAACATGAAGTGTAGGTCAGTTCTAAAAATTACAAAAAGCAGATGTTGTAGTAACAAGCCTTCACGAGCAAAGAACAATAAATTGATTAAATATACATCTGATTTTCATCAATTTGTTAATCTCATGATAGACTTTAATTTGGACATCATCCACTTCTTGATATTATGACTGACTGTGATTATACATTTTATATCAACCATTTCCTGACGTTATGACCAAGAGTTATTACACATTTGGAGATCATCCATTTCTTTATGTTATGACCGACTGTGATTACACATTTGGACATCATCAATTTCCTGATGTTATGACTGACTGTGATTACACATTAGGACATCATCCATTTCCTGATGTTATGACTGACTGTGATTACTTATTTTGACATCCTCTATTTCTGGATGACAGTGATTACACATCTGGACATCATCCATTTCCTGATGTTATGACTGACTGTGATTACACATTTAGACATCATCCATTTCCTGATGTTATGACTGACTGTGATTACACATTTGGACATCATTCATTTCTTTAAGTTATGACCGACTGTGATTACACATTCGGACATCATCCATTTGTTGATTTTATGACTCACTATGATTACACATTTGGACATCATCCATTTCCTGATGTTATGACTGACTGACTGATTACACATTTGGACATCATCAATTTCCTGATGTTATGACTGACTGACTGATTACACATTTGGACATCATCAATTTCCTGATGTTACGATAGACTTTAATTAGACATCTGGGTGTAATTAATCTCTTGATAATCACACATTTAAACACAATTCATTTCTTGAAAATATGATTACCATTACAATTAAACATGTGTGCAGGATCTGTATGTTGATATTCAACATCATCATCCTTTTATGCCATTTTAATTCACACACAGCTCACAGTTTTCCATTTTGTTCTATAGTTTTGGACATTGTCATTATATTTTTATTTCTTTAAACTATTTTACAAAAAAGACATGTTAAACAAAGATCTGTATGTATTGTAGCAATTCAGCAAAGATTCAAAACATCCAGGGAAGCAGGACTAACCGATATGACATCCAAAGTATCCAGAGCTTTTGTTCTAATAAAGCACTGCGCTAGTTTGGACCTCAGATCTACAGGCATAAGGGCTGGGAATGTTACGCTGAAAATGAACAATATGAAATAAATGTAAGAGAGAAACAAAAGAAACAACAAAATTAATTAACGTTTAGTTAGCTTCTGGCCAAAATGGAGGAAAAGGCTTGGCAGAATGTTAAGCTTTAAAGTTATTTTTGCTCCCGAAAGCGCTTTGCTAATGCAGTTTCCACATAGGGACGGTAGTCTATGGTTTTGCTGCCTGAGCTGAGTTTAGTTCTTGGTTGCAGCAATGTGAGCTGTGTTTTTCCTATGGAATGCCTTTCATTTGTGCAGCTGTTGTGTCGTTTTGTTCAATATGGCCCGTGGCCGGTTTACGTGTGAGCTGGTGAAATACATTATGTAAGAATTCTATGTGCGTATAGTAACAAACTACTTCCATCAACAACAAACTGCATTTATGGTGGTGATTGTTGGCTTTGGCACCTCTAGCAAGTGAAATACGCATTTACTGCGAACACATATTTCTGGATTGTTCCGGAACTAGTTGTTTATTCACCAGTTTTTTTATTTGCACCAGTCAGGGATATTTCATTTGATTCGCATTGACACAGGAACAGAGCAAGTATGGGGAAACCCGATTCTGGTGATGTTGAAACCTCAACTAACTAACTAACTAACCAACTAGTTAGCTGCATATCCTTCACATGATGTTTCAGAACCAACCCCAGCATTTCTTGGCTTTTTGTGACTTCACCAGGCAATGTTTTGCTCGGCAGTTTGCCACTGCTTGGAGTATGCAATGTTACAACACAATAAATAAATAAGCAGACAAAGTTATAGGAAAGGAACCCTTTACTTTCCAGAACCTTGTCTGGAACATGTCTTAGGCCGGATCAACCTGGAAGTCAAGGTCATTTTAAATTTTTCACAAATAAAAGAGCAAAGCTATTTTGCCAATTCGGAACACACATGAAAAGAAACGGAATAGTTTTGAAACAGTTACTCAAACTCGCCTCTTCAAAGCCACTTCCTTCCTCTCGAAGGCTTCCAGAGTGGCCAGCAAATCATCAGAGGAGCTGTGATCATCAAACTGGATATTTACAGCGCAGTGTTTAGAGATAACCTGCAACAGAACCAAATTTGAGTGTGTTTGTTTGGTCTATGTTTAAACAAAACATTACATAATTCAACTTTTAATCAAAATCCTCCACGTGTAGGTTCTTGATTTCAGTTTGTAGGGAAAATTTGGGGTCAATTTTGAAGAAAAAAAAACTACGTCCAGATGTGGATTTGACCTTCATACACACATCTAGCAGCACAGCAGCTTTCTAGGGAAATATATAACCAATAACTCTTTTGTCCTAAAAAAAGTCACAAAACCGACAACTCTGGTTTGGTACCATTTCCCTGTAAGGGCCGCTTTCCTAACTCACTATAAAACATGTTTACGAGACATCGAGCTAATTCATTGCATCTGCATCAGCGTAAAAAGTTTAGCATAACATCGGACAGCTAATTCTACCTTTTAAAAAAAACAGCATTTAGAGGGTTGCCTTTTTGCTTTTAATGACTTTATTTATAAACATTCCCCCATCACATTTTCCTCATTGGTTACTAGGCGACCAGGTCACATGGTTAAGTAGGTGTCACACTGTAATTAGTTTGCAGACAAGAAGAGATGAAAGCAGACAAGAAGAGATGTAAGCCAATTTATTCTATGCTGCATTCTTTTCTGATTACCCGCCTTACTGTGTTAGGTATTTGCTCATGTTTTGGATGAAAACTTATTTGTGTGAATTATTTTGTGACTTTTATTTTTCAAAGAAGCTTGGTTTTATTTTTCTAGGTCATTGTGATGAAAGTGATAAGCACTTCACAGATTCAATCAAAGATCCATTGTTGTTGTTTTTTTTTCTGCCCATGAGTAAGTAATCTTTCTTTCCTAACAATTTTGCCAAGGTCATGACCTTACAACCTACTGTTTCAGACCATATATTCTATGAGAGTTTTAGCATGCCCAACTTGCACATGAGGCCTCCTGTCTTTTGCTCTTAACACTGGGTATCCGACAGCAGAATTGCACATCTGTTTTTTATCATTGTCATAGCCCTGTGGGACAGAGTATAGACAATACGACTTGTAACTTCATGTTTGTGTTTGACGGACCAAAAGATGCACCAGCGGTCAGCCAGCTGAACTGACGATATGGGGAAAAACTGAAATGGCTTGAACACTGGTGCAACGTACACGTTTTACCCGAAGCTGAACGGGGAGAGAGAGGAGAGCGGTTAGAATGGACGTGTGAGGCTGAAGACATTTAGAGACGTGATAGATTGTATTTTGTTAGGAATTGAAAGATAGGGTCTGTTAACGTTGTCGTCATATGTGTTGGTATTCCTTGTGTGCTTATAGTATGATAAGACAGTTGTGTTGGTGTTGTATCGTGCTTAGGTAGGTGTTCTTGCCCATGGGTTATTAGGGTTTAGCTGCATTTTGTGCTGATGTTGACACTGCCCGCTAATACTTGAACCACTCACCCTGCGTGTGCCACTGAGTCTCGCATGGCGAGGACCGCAGCCTAGTCAGCGCTGTACGACAGTGAGGTGGAATCGTGTCCTCTGGTACATCCATGGGAATGGCTCGGGGTGGATAAGTAAATATAAATGCTACCACCACCAGCGTTTCGGATAAAGGACTGTCCATAACTGTTGAAGTTGTTTTAGGTTAAAGTCTCTTTATGCATTAAAGATTATGTGTGTACTCAATGGGTGTGTTTTAAGTGTGTTCTAGTATAGTGTGTCTGTCACAGGGCCGTACAACGAGCTGTAGTTAGGTAATATAGGTACAAGGTTCTTGACAGATAAATGGGAGGCTACGTCCGTTGGGATTTGAACCAAATTCTTGACAGATAAATTGTTGATTCACAGTGGTAACTGTTCTGTGGATTTGAACTCAATCTTAGTAGCTGATGGAAATAGAATGTTTAAAGAATATTAACGGTGTTTTTGACTAGGGTTAATATTGACAGATTGTAGATTAATAACAGTTTTTGTGGTAGGTGCGTTCATGATCATAGTGCAGACATATTTCGGCTCGTCTATTAATTCATGATATGGCTACTGAGTTGGTTTCATTGAGTTGCTGGGTTGGTTCCCTTAATTAGAGGCATTGTATGTGTAATCAACTCTTAAAAACGTGATAGTGATATCGAGTCTTGCCTGATTTATTGTTAGCACTAGATTGTGACTGTTTTGTAAGTAATGTCTTATGTTGGCGTCTAGACTTCGTGTATTTAGTGGTAATGACTGAATGTGTTAGAATTAGGGTGTGTCTTTACGGATAGGCAACGACTGAGGGACATAGACGGAAGACAAGTATTTTTCTGGAGTGCATCAATTAATAAATGTGATGTCCAACTGTGTTTGTGGTTGAGAGTCCAAGAAATCCTCAGCGAGACCCATCGTCCTTGATCATCATCGTTGCTTCATCGTGTTTTTCATCGGGCAGCCATATTCCCAGGACTGGAGAAAAGATAAGTTGGATTGTGGTTTTAATCGTGGCGTTGGTTTCTGGTCTTCTCCTTGTCCTATGTGTTCCATTGGGTCGGTCTGGCGCCGTTCATCGTTCTTCTATCATTTTTGTCTATCCTGTTCATTAAATATAAGTATTGTTTTGAGTACACACATCACCCATCCTCATCTGAAATTGTTAAGGAGTAGTTTTCGGATTCCTATTCTGAGTTTCAGCTGTTACTATCCAAAGTGTTTTAACAGTTGCTATCATACTGCTTTTGTTATCTGGGCTGTAATATTATCTGTTAATATTTTCAAAAAATTTTACTCTATTTTTGTTGTTACTACGTTAAAGCAGTGTAGTGTAATATTTTTTTTCCTCAACTGTGGTTGAAGCGATCCAAATAATTTATTTTGTGTGTGCATTTAGTTTTATTGGTCAGCAAGGCAACGGTTTGATTGCAATTGTTGTACTACTACAAGATGTCTAGTCTCGCCGACTTCTTAGAAATGGCCAGACAACATGAGCTGACGGGTGAAAAAGCGCTAGAATGGGCTGACAAGAAGTATACAGAGTTAGGAGAAAAAGAGCAGCGTGACAGAGAAAGACAAGATCATGCCAATGAAAGGAAACTGAAAAAACTCGAACTAGAGGCGCAAAATAAAGCCAAAGAGATCTAGGCTATTACAATAGAAAAACAGTTAGAAGCCCAGGCTGCGTTAAAAGAGCAGGAATTAAAGGCCCAGGCTGAAAGAGATAGAGTACAGTTATTGATTAGGGACAAAGAGATAATCAGTAACACTGAGATACAGAAAGAGAGGTTAACAATGGAACCAAAGGCAAAAGAGCTAGAAGCCAATAGGGAGGCCGAGGTACTGACGAAAAAAGCTGAGTTAAAGGCAGCTGAGCCTTCCTTTAAAAAGTATCAGGGTCTGGTCAAATTTTTCAATCACGGTGAATCCATTTCTGCATGGACACAAAATTTTGAATACATGGCAAAACATTTTGAAGTACCACTTACAGAATGGTCACTAGTCTACAGGAAACATCTAGGGGGTGAACCATTGAGACTGTTAGAAACAATTCCTATTGAGAAGTTAGATGATTATGAGTTTGTGAAGGGTAGAATTTTACAGCATTTTGCACTAGAAGAGGAATCTTATAGGAACACTTTTAAAAATCTGTCACCAAAACCTGAACAAACCTTTATCGACTACATGTCGGAAGTTGAGACTACCTTTGATAAGTGGATAGCATCTGCCAGGATTGGCAAATCTTTTGAGTTATTAAAAGGTCTGCTAATCAAAGGTAAAGTTTTATCTAGTGTACCCAGTAACATGATGACATTCTTAATTGAACAAAAGCCATCCACAGTCAAAGAAATGGAAACATCAGGAGCAGCTTATTTCCATGCTCAAAGAAACATTTTCATTTTTGGTAAAGGCTCAGATGTCAATTATGGGGCTGCTGTGCAACCTGTATACAGAAAGAAATTGTACCACACCGAGTCTAAAAGAAGGACATTCAAAGACCATAGGAGTCACAGATCCTTTAAGGATAAGGGCCCAATGATCACATGCCCTTATTGTAAAACAGAGCTTGGTAAAAGGCAGTGGTGTCAGGAGAATCCAGGATTTTAACAGCATGTCCAGAACTGGCTTAAGTGGAGAACAGAACAAAAAAGCTCATATGGCCTACCTCGTAAATGCCGCATCTGCCATGCAATTAATCACTTGCAGGATTTATTTTTGTTGGACATTTGGGCTTAACCAGCCGATGGATGGTTGCTGTCTTGGTGTACCTCAGCGCGGTGGCGACGACACTGAGGGTTGACAGAGGATGTATATGGGTAGGATCTTGCTGCGAGAGGCTACCCACAGGAAATGTTACTCGTCTAAGCTGTGGGTAAATCTCTAGGTCAAGTTTTGAGTCTCAGCAACACAATGTTCTCTTCACTCCACAAACTTTTAACCGAGGTTGTCATTTCAGTTGTACATTTGGCAAGCATACTTTTACTCATGTTCCAAATGAGTTTTGATAAACTTTTTCACTTATGCGTTTGGGGGGCAGGCTGATGAGAGCCACAAGGACACTACACCTCTGGGGGCCGATAACTCCAAGATCCCCTGACAGCTCTGTTAATGCTCATTTGAGACATTATCCGTGGCGCACGACGAGGATGTGCAGCAGGAGTCTTGCGTGAGGTTCCGTAAAACCAGAAAAGTGAAGGACTGGCACCCGAATGATGTACGGAGTATCCCCTAATAAACATCACTATGGACTTAACTTTACCTCATGCCTGTGACAGAAATGACCGCGCTACAGGGAGGAACTAAGCTCGATGGGCACCACATGGTCTCTACAATACTGCCCTTTCTACTGTGGATATGAACTTTAGCTCTGGCCTTAACTGATATTCTTAAATCTAACACAAAATGCGACTAGAAAGCTCAATGAATGGAAAAGATGCAAACAAATACAACTGAACATTTTGACCAAAGTCTTTATCAACAAAATACTAAATACAGCACAAACTGTGACTAAAAACTCAACGAGCAAGACAACAGAGCTAATTTTAAAAAAAAAAGGTCAACGTGAAACCAAGAAGTA